TACATGTATGTATGTATGTATGTATGTATGTATGTATGTATGTTCGTATATACAGAAAGCGAACGGCCCTCTGAGTGGGAATGGGGAAAGTGCGGTAAGAAACAACAAGCAACTGGCAACGGGTCAACTACTAAATCGATAAAGCTATATATATATATATATATACACACACATACATATGCAATATTAAAATACAGACAGAGAGACAGACAGACAGACTGACTGACATAATATGTAGGTGGCTTGCGGACCGTCAGGTGTGGTTTCCTTTTTTGCTTTTATCTGTTAAACATCTTTTGTCCTGATAGCTCCTTCTTCTTTTCTTCGTATCTTACTGTCTTGTTACTTCACTAATCGTCTGCACTCATATGATCTTATTGTGTTGCAAGTGCTGTAAAACTCTTGTAATCGTTCGCCGCCAGGAGCAGGTTAAATCAAGCACTATTAGAAAAGATTCCTGTCAGAGAAATGATAAGTTCTCTCAATCTGCGCACAGTTGAGACAGATCAATGACGTTCGTTTACACAATAACAAATTATGTTAATGTTGAATCAAGTCACCTACTCAGGAAACCCAATAATCATTCAATTTTGACCGAAGGATGTCTGTAAGTTAGGGTATGCTTTGGTGATATTTTGTCTAGTACGTTCCCGGAAGTGCAGAGGTGTAAGGAGTTAAGGTGTGTGGCAGCTGGCTTTTTCATTAAGCTCTAGTGAAAAGATTCTGAATCATCATTATTTGTGGCGTCCGTTGTCTAATGGTTTGGCTCTCGGATTCGCAACCGTAAAGTAGAATACCGTCAGGGGTCCGGCGTTGTGTCCTTAGGAAAGGCACTCCACGCGAATTTTCCTCACTTCACCCAGGTGGACATGGGTACCCGGCTGTAGACTGTGAAAGAGCTTGTAAATTTGCAAATGTATGAGCGCATGAAATTCGCAGCTTGCACTGTAGTATGCTTCCCGAGAAGCCGAAAATGTTTCTGAGTTTCTGCTGGGCTAATAATAGTTATATAGCGCACTACGCATGTTGTAGAGTATGGAAATGTGCTATATAAATACCATTATTAGTAATAGCAGTATTCTCATTGGTCCACAGGTAAGGTGTTTGCCCGGTTCGATTCCGGGTTCGTATAGTGAGAGGTTGGTGGATATCTTTGAAGAACATTTTTTTCCCCCAACTCTAATCCCTTTGTGGGATCACGCGCCTAGACATCTCGAACCCAAACGAGTGTGTACCTTTGCCTTTGAAAATAGGAGAAGAGTCGGTCTATGAAGGTTAGCCCCTGAGCAAAATGATAAACCAATTCCTAACTTAAACTTTTTAAAGCGGTGATCAGCAGAGATAACAATAGCCTTAAAATCGACGAAGAAGCCTACGGAAGGAAGGATACTACTACTACGTTCGAGTTAGATCAAAAGCCAGATTTAATATCTAAAGCATAATAATTATAACCTCAACCTCGGACATCTAAATGGAGAGCACAGACCAGGAAGAAAGATTACCAATAATCCTTTAGATGGAGAGGCGAGACGTCATTTTTGTCGGCCCGTGCACGCAGTGTCTTCATTCGCACTGTAGTTAGTTGTATTATGTGGGGCGCAAAGTGGCAAAATTTGAGAATATCATTTTCTTTTTCAGACGTAATGAGCGAAGGCACAGTTTTACAAGATATTTCGAGATATATGAAGCTTCTGTTATTCAATTATTTTTTTTATTCAAAATTTCACTGTTCCTTGAACGTTATTTTTGGAGGGTATTTTTTATGCCACAAAAAAGACCGTGTAGGCAATTCAACAGTCAGCATGTTCGCCTCTCAAACCCGACAGCCTCATTAGTTTTTCTCATGTTTTCTATTCTCCCTGTAAGTCTACACAAAAAGTAACAGCTTTGAGAGCTGATCTCAAGAAGAAGAAGAAGAAGAAGAAGAAGAAGAAGAAGAAGAAGAAGAAGAAGAACAACAACAACAACAACAACAACAACAAGAACAAGAACAAAATTAAGGAAAAAAAGAAGCTGTTCAAATCCTTTTTGAAGAAACTGGCAAGTTTTCTTGTCTCCTAAGTTTAAGAAAAAGACTTTGTAGGAATAGCCCACCTTGCTGCAGATGGCTCTGTATCTAGAAGCGCACTTTGGTTGTGTTTTGTTGGGGGGGAGGGGGTTCTACCGCAGGTGTTTTTTACGCTGCCATCATCGACACAACCTAGATCATTAAGGAGGCAGACTTCCGACTCTGCCTCCCAGGTAAATCAAGGCTGAGGAGAGGGGTACAACATCCCAGCAGAAAGACCGAGATACGTGAATTTTTAAAAATGTGTCGCAACTCGAGAAGCGAACTCGGGTTTCCTGCTTGTGACAGTGAAGTGATGTACCTAGATCGTGCAACAACATTCCATCTGTTTTCTAATACAGTATTTCATACATCAACGTTTTGTTTCTGGACTGAAAACCTTGAAATTGTAGCAAAAGTCTCCTCTGTTGAAGGAAATTTAGACCTCGGTTAACTCAACAATTTCGGGCCTCAGTAGTTTATGTAACAGATATGGATTTACTATATACATCAGTAAATCAGCCAGTGGGTACCTCTCCTTCTTTCTTCTTTTTCTTTTCTTTTTTTTTTTCTTTTTTTTTTTGCTTGCTGTTTTTTCAGTTAAAATGTAACCATATTTAGATTTGTGTTTTATAAGTATTAGATGATATCTAGGGGAAAACAGTGACTTATAATTTCGAGGGACAAAACTAACTCGTGAGGACTCCGTGAAAATGTCACGAATGCCAGACGACGACATAAAAGTTTTTGTTCTTCCTATTGTCAGAGCCGTTTTCTTTTGCATGCCGATAATTTTTACATCTCTCTTGCGTGTATCCTGTCCTTATTGTTTCTGTTACCTTATTGGTGTGGTGGTTGCTGGGCTTGTTTCTTTGTTTTATGCTATTGACCTGTTACCCGGTGGGTTTTTTGCCTTTTAGCTTGATGTCATTGCCACTTCATTTTTCTATTCTAGTTATTTAATGGACTTTCCTTGTGATGTGGAAGGAAAGCACCAATCAATGTTTTAAAAAATGATCTACAAACGTCAGACGTCAGCATGTAATTGTTTGCTAACTTCACTAAGTAAATTATATCTTCTTGGGGGCCTGAAGGTTTTGGCCTATTATTCATACAATGAGCTGAAAATGGAATTCGTTGCAAATAAATGGGATTACTTATTTTTAAGTCATATATTTGTTGTTGTTTTTACGAGGTTTACTTTGTTTTCTTTTCAGAGTCAAAATGGTCGGGGCAAGTTTCGCAGCATTGGTAGTGACCATCTGTGTGGGTGTGGTCCACCCTGCCCCTACTTCAGAAACCACAGAGACGATAGACATGTTGATGCCTAACGTCAAACCACAGACGGTAAGTGTGATTCGGGGGGAGGGAAAATTGGGATGAAACAGAAAGAGGAGAAGGAGAAGAAAACGGGGAGGAGAGAAAGAAGACGTGATAAGAGAAAAAAATAGGGGGTAGTAGAGGAAGGAGACGAGTAGATAAAAAGTGGGGGAGACGAAAGAAGAATATTTGGGGAAGGAGTAGAGGAAGGAAAAAATTGAAGTCTTTAGAGAGAGTCAAACACAGGAAACATGATCACGCCTTTTTAATCTATATAACCAGAACTTAGGTGAAACAAGAAAGAGAGAGAGAGAGAGAGAGAGAGAGAGAGAGAGAGAGAGAGAGAGAGAGAAATAGAGAGTATGTCCGTTTGTGCACACCACAACAGAGAGTGTCAACTTCAGCAACAAAACAAAAAAGATAAATGAATAAAATAATGTCTCTCATTTTACTAGTCTACTTTCAAGGGACCATTAGAGACTGCTGAAAGTGAGTCTGTGTTTACTGAATGGGCTCACCATGAAGTATGTCGCATACTGCATGATCTCTTTGGACAGTTCAGAGTTCGTTATGCCGATCACTAAAAGACAGACAATCAGTCCTTGAATTTCATAATCTGAGTAAATCAAGATCTGCTTCGATAGGCTTTTACAGAGATGGGTTTACCTTTAGGGAGCACTTTCTCCGAGAGTTGCAATAAATACTGACAACACAACATCTGTACGCACGTTTTAATTAAATTTATAGTTCTGTCAATAAAAGAGAATTCCATAATTTATACTTACGCACTTTACCATGACCTAAAGTTCCGTTTTCTTGGAACGCAGTAGTTATTTTACACCACTGTCTGGCGTCACCACATCAAGCACTGGGCAACGTTTGTTCTCCCTTTTTTGCTTTCGATGAGAGAACTTTGGCATGTCTGACTTTCTATCCTCCTCGACCGATTAGCTGAGCAATAAAATATCTTCCCTACTAGGAGCGAAAGGTCAGTTCGACTCAGTTTTTCCTACCATAGTATTCCTTTCCTGCTATACCTCACTGCATGTGTTTTGTTCTTGTCCTAATACTTTGACATTCTCACGTCAATGCTCCCCGTCACCAGCGCCATTGTCATTGCTGTTATTATTACGTCTTTTGCTTCTTTTCATCTTTACAGCCGGACACGTATCTGTGCCAGTCTTTCAAGATTGAGGACGCACACAGATATATCAGTGAGTACTCCCGCTTTCTTGATAAACTATTTGTGTTACAGTTTTCAAGAGAAACATTTCTTTCATTGCAATAATAATTAGATGAAATAAAGACGAAATTTTCATGTGGTTTCAAGTAGGAATTGTACATTTTTCACAGAATTAAGTTCAAATAGAAGTGGGGTGTAAACCCCGCCAGGACAAACTCACTCTGTATTGGGTATTTCCTTTCTGAAAGAAGATGACCTTCAAAAAGCAATATCAGCCCTGCATGGAGAGAGAACTGTCACTTCCTCTGAGGGCACGGGGGAACAAGTGCACCAAAGACGCCAGTATAGTATAAATAAATGTTTAAGGATACAATAGCTTCATGTCTTCCAGATTCGATATGTTTCATTGGCTTCATAAATATCGCTTGAAATATAAACAAGCTGAAACTGCATTTAAACAGTGTGTAAATGGCCAAGCCAATACATGCCCAATATAGACAAAGCTTAGAATTTAGTTATGTAAATTCTGTAGATGAAAGATCAATTCAATCTGTTTTTAAGCCGAGTTGTAGTTTTCTCTCTCATCTGTCCCGTATGTAGATCACACGTACTCCCTACATAGTCCCTATCTAGCACTGCTGGTTAATTAGTAGCACTCACGAAATTTGAGTAGATTTATTAAATTAATCTGAATTTTTTTAGAAATGCAATAGCAACATTTATTCCATTTCCTGTATTGTATCTGCACATGACCTTTCGTGTTGACCACCATAAATGCCATGCCTGTTTTCAATATCCTCGGTCTGTTTTACAGAGCTGGCTCGAAAAGCTCTCTAACAGATATATATAAAGGTCACAGGGCTACTTCTTAGAGATCAAATATGCGACTGCGATTAGAGCTTCAGATTCCGTCATAAGAAACTTTGTGGATTTGAGAAAACAAAACGTTTTGGTTGAAGTCAAGGTCAACACATTTACACAAAACATTTTGCTTTTGGGATTTGTTTTGGGGTTGTTTGTTTGTTTTTTTAAGATCCAAGTTTGCTAACATTCTCATGCAATGCCGACAGACGTTGCATTTTAAACTTTTATGGTTTCCGCGGCACATTTTGGTCCGTGCGTCTCTTCACGCCTGCTAGGCCATATCTATTGCTTCGTTTGATCCCAGTTACTCTATGCAGGTTTGTTAAAAACGGTGCCAATGCTCTGCTTTTGAAGACACACCGCTCTTGTCTAAAAAAAATACGATTGGGACTACATCACACAAGATTGAAGAAATCGAATGAAAGCTCGGAGAAACTTCCTTCCAACTAGTGAATACATCTCCACCCCAACACCCAACAACCATCACTTATATCGCCTCTTCTCCATGCCAC